GGAATTAGAATGTACTTGCACCTTCCGAGCTCCTCCGGCCATAGCTAACTGCAGTCCCTTGATCACCGCCTCGTATTTAACTTCATTATTAGACACTCCGAATCCCATCTTGGCTGCAAACTCCAAGTAATCGTCGTAAGGAGAAACGACCACAATTCCCAATCCTGCTCCACTTCTCGCCACCGATCCATCCAAAAACAGTTGTCATACTCCTCCAGATTCCTCTTTGATCTTCGTACCTTCCTGGATAAAATCTGCCAACACCTGCACTTTTATAGCCCTCCTCAGCTCATACATTAATGAATATTCACTCAGCTCGACTGCCCATTTTACCAATCGACCAAAAACTAAAGGTCGTCCGAGCGTTTCTCTCAGCGGCATATTCGTTCTCACCTTCACTTTATGGCTTAAGAAATAAGGCCTCAGCTTTCGAGCATTTACAACCACCGCCAGGGCACACTTCTCGATCTCTGAGTACCTCATCTAAGCTCTCTGCATCACCCTACTCACATAATATAAAGGAAATTGCGCCACCCCTTTCTCTCGCAACAGCAACGAACTCACAAACCTTTCTCCAATAGAGATATATAGCACCAAATCCTCTCTTTGAATCGGTTTGGCCAATAAGGAAAGGTTGGCTAACACTCCTCGTAACTCCTCGAATGCCCGCTGAGCCTCCTCCGTCCATTGAAACTTCGCACTCTTCTTCAATGTTTTGAACAATGGACAACTCCTCTCTGTCACCTTCGATATGAATCGACTCAGCCCCGCGATTCAACCAGCCAGGATCTGCACCTCTTTAACATTTATCGGCGATTTCATCTCCACCACTGCTCGCACCTTCTCCAGATTCACCTCGATACCCCTCTTGGTCACCAAGTACCTCAGAAATTTTCCCGACTTTACCCCGAACGAGCACTTGGTTGGGGGTACCTCCTTAGTGTTAAGAACGTCTCTCTCAAGTCCCGCACATGATCCAACTCCGACTTGGTGGGCTCTTCTCCTTCTTCGGCTCTGGTCGAGCAGCTCCCTCTAACTTGGCAAACTCCACATCCATTTCCTCCAGATTGATATACTTCCTACACCTCTTTAGCACATCCTCGTATGATCGAGCAGGGGTCATTGCCAGCGAAGTTCGGCATGTCCCTGCTCGAAGACTCCTTATCAATCCAACCTGCCTTTACCTCATCAGACACCGAATGCACCTCCAAGCATGTCTGATTATATCGAGCGACATACTGCCTCAACGATTCCTTCTCTCCCTGCTTCATTGCCATCAATGTCAAATACGTCTTCTCCTGAGCCACTACGCTTGAATATTGATTGGTAAGCTTGCTGGCAAAATCCTCGAAATCAGCGATCGACCCTGGGGGTAACTGATGAAACCAGTCGAGCGCGCCTCCCGCAAGGTCGATAAGAAAGCCCTGCAACACACAGAATCATAATATCCATGCAACACCACCATATTTTCAAAAGTTCTCACATGCCTCGATGGGTCAGATGACCCATCAAAC